AAGAACATAATGTAGTATATCTGTAAGACAGTATTGTCTTTTAATAAATTACTATATATACACCAATCAAAAAAAGTAAATAAAAATGATAATCATCATTAAATTAAAATATAATCATCATATAATAATAATAAAATAATCAACAATATTGCATTTAAAATTTTTAGTATAAAATATTTAAAAAATATTTAATAATAATTGATTTATATACATTACAATATACTATAATACCTTTAAATGACTACAAATAATAATAATACAAATTGTATTATTACAATTATTATTTTATTATTATTAGTCATTTAATGGTATTGTATTATATAATAATGTATATAAATCAATAATATAATGTAGTCTATATATATTCTATGGTTCATAATTATAACTCCTATAGTCTAACCTTAACCCTATAACACCTTTTTGGCACTTTTAGATCTGAATAAAGACATTACACAATGCTTTTATAAACCTGATGTCTTTGTAGGGATGTAATGAGGTGTGTTCACATTTAGTGCTGCTATTCTAAGAGCGCCTGAAGCCATCAGAGAAACACATCCACCAACCGACTGCTGACTATTTCACACCCATTCTCCACAAGCAGGTCTTTGCATATATGCCACTGTTGCTATTGGCCAGTGTCCAGTTTGCTGAATGAAACTTTCTTGGCTTTGTGTGGAAGAATGAGCTAATCATAATTTGAGGTTTACGGCCATTGCTTAAATGAATAAAGTTCAGAATGAGGCAAGCAGAGCAGTGCTGAGGAAGCTACTTTCAAACTGCACCCAAGCTAAAATCTGCTCATAATTTACAACAGCTCAACTACACTGACAGTCAGGCCATTATTTTATTAATTTAAAGTAGTTTCCCTATAAGTTATATTAAAGTTCATGATTACTAAATGTTTAAAAATAATTCCATAAAGGCTTAGCATTTAAAAATACCTAGCGTGTAAAAACACAAGAATTGACAATATGACTAATAAAACGAAAGACTAACAACAAACTGACTTGCTAAAAATCAAACCCCTAACATTTGAAAGAGAAGCATTAAAAATATTTTTCTACTTGTTACTGGAAAACTAGACTATTATGAAAACAGCTGAGTTACTGTCTCGCCACTGATAAATGCAGCAGGTTCAGCTGGTTAGTCCTCAGCTCTGGTCCTGAGTGTTGTAGAGAGAAACGCTCAGTGAAATGCAGCGAGAGAGTGTGTGTG